GTTGGATGAAACTGTCGATAGCGGTGTGGGAGTTTACGCAGTTTATCCGGATTTCTCAACGTTGTTCGATCGTCTGAACCAGCGTATTCTCCTTACAAACTTCAGATCTGTGGAATTCATGATACAATCCATGGTTAGATGGGCAACCTAATCTGAATTTAAGAGTTCACAATGAGATCTCTGATCCTACTGAATTTCAATGCAGAGTGCCAAATGGTCCATTATTCGGCCAATACCTATTCTTGATTTAGGTGAACAACCTGAGGAGAGTACCCACCTCAAATTTCTTACTCTTTACTGATGATCTCGATATGGCCGGCCAGTAATAGAACGGGTGACCACATAACACAGCAGGATGATCTTGACAGGATATGTGAGTGGACGGGTTAGAACCAGCTCCATTCCAAGGAGACCGCGACGGACATTTAGCATACACCGTCAGTCAACATGCGAATACAGACCCATGGGTTAATTCACGCAACTTGCTTTTATTGCATGCGACGTTGGTGTACTGGTACATGACAACCTTGGTTGTTCACGCCAGGCCAAGACAGCGTCTAGAAAAGCCACTCAGCATCTTGGTCTAATGTAGAGGTGAATCTTGGATGTGACTGCTGCATCTTCTCGAGGATGCTCAAAGCATATAGATAGTAGTGTCAATAATATTACGCCATCCATGCTTAGCAGATCTGCCAAAAGCCTGACCATATCGCATTCGAAATTCTACAATAAAGGGCATCCGAAAAGGTAAAGTGGTTGTTCCATGTCCCTTACCAACTGAGGCTGAAAATGATTGGGATCTACAGGGGGTGAATACCGGTGCATGTGTGGTGATTTGTTAACGACTTCTCAGATCCTGTGTAATCAATGTTTGTCCCCACCTGAAACTATACAGCCACACCACACTGAGAGTTCATCAGCTAAAACTGGTCAAACAGAATAGTTGGTTGGAATTCCGCCGGGATTTATTTTCACTTTGTGGCCGTCAGCGTCAGAGCTTTCCCCCTACTTATGGTTTTCCTTTATCCATATTACTAATATTCGAAAGACCTCTTGATGATGAACTCATGTAGTTGCACTACACTATATAGTCGCTTTTGACTCCGCACCAGTGTAACATAGCAATCATTGTGCTCAGTGTAACTTCTTGGGGAGTCTGTCAACACTTGTTTAATTTAGTTAACGTTACTTCGTTTCCCAACTTGTCCACCCGTTCACACTACGGGACCTGTCAAGCACTAGCTTCTTTACTAATGAGAAACCATTAATTGCCTTGTCTTTATTGTTCAAAATCCTTGTGGCTTCTGAAAGTCCGATGCGTCTGTGGGGTAGTGTGATGCAAGCCTATAAGATAAGATCAAATTGAACAACGCTTCAGTGTGATAATTGCCAATGTATGGAGCGGAGTCATTGTTATTATATGTCGATAGCATTGATACTGATGATATTTGACCACAAGTGGCGGTGCAGGCTACTTAATATCTGATAGGGCTACTCAGTAAGCAATGAGGCTGTCCACCAGTCATTGATTGATGTAGAACTCTCTGTTGACATACTGGAACGGGCGTCCAATCTGAATTCTCCTTATAGGGTGAATCACGCTCATTAAGTGCTAGTTGAGCGTCTACTTCGGTATGTATTACTGGCTTCATTGAGTGAAACCTCAGAGTGGTCAGTAGATTTCATTTTGGGAGGCAAGTAAAAACAAATTAAAAGAGTTGATCCCGCTGGGATACGTTCTATTCCAAGGAGATACCAGGAGAACAAGCTGCGCCGTCAGAAATATTAGAGCTGTCAGTGCAATATTGACGCTAATGACGCGTATGGATTAGGTCTATCCAACCCTACATATGTATTCCTTTCAAAACCAGTAAGTGAGCAGGTTTCTCTCGTGTCTATACACGATCTTTTATGGCCATTTCCCCATTGATGGTTTGTTTATTTCTACGTTTCCTTTATTTCCCTATTATTTCTTTGGCTGATCAATGCAGGTTATGATGGAGACTTAGACAGCGAAAAGTGGAATGTTGTCCCACACAAACGGTGTTAGCGATAATAGGCTAACTATTTGATGAATGCATAGTTTGGCCATCCGCGTCAGTGAGCTGATTGCAAAGCGAGGCATCATTCTGCAACCACTTAATGAATTCCCTTCTAGCCAGCACTGCGATGAAGTTGAGCTATTGACACAAACAATAGTAGGTTGTCAAGGTCGTGTAAACCACGAGCTCTTACGTCAGATACTGTGCACTTCTGTGCTGATACAGCTGCAGAAGCACACGAAACTGTCTACCATACAAACACCAGTGAAAGTCGTCGTGCTATGGCGTACGGCCTGACCAATCATCTGCAGCATAAGATCAACTATAATTTGGGTGTGATTGATTCACTGACGAAAAACGCGTACGTTAGGCGTGAGGCTGAGTGACGCTAGTGCCATGAATCAGAATCGCCTATTTATCGTCGCAACCGTCTTGACAGGCTTTGCAATTGCATTAGTTTCCGCATTGATCCTTCTCGATCCGATCATGCGATTTATAGTCTACGAACAGACAGAGTTGGTCCCAGGGACTGTGACCTACGAACAATGGGTTCAGCCGACGATTGACATTTATTTTCAGGCATACTTGTTCAACCTAACAAATCCTATCGAGTTTCAGGCAGGCGAAAAGCCTATACTTCACCAATTAGGACCGTACACCTATAAAGAACGCCGCTTCAAGAAAGACATTATCCCACAAGCTATGCCCAGCACTCTCCAGTACAAAGAAGTAAAGGAATATCATTTTAAACCAGCCATGTCTGCTGGTTTGGAATCTGATGTTGTAACTACTGTGAGCTTGGGGTACCTAGCGATCGACACAAAATTCGGTTGGCTACCCGCAGTCATTGATCGCATGATTGCATTACTGGAGCAATGGGTCGGAGAACACCTAATCGTACGCAAAACAGTTGGCGAGATTCTGTGGGGCTACGAAGATCCATTTTTGGTATTTCTCAGAAGGATGAATGTTCCAGTTCCTTCAACGATGATCGGGCTATACTTGGGCAAAAATGGCACCGATGACGGACCAGTGGAAGTTTATGCAAATAACAAAGATCCAGAGAATTTTGGGCATATTTATAAGTATCGCGGGTCACGCAATCTGTTATGCTGGACTACACAACAGGCGAACCAAATCAATGGTTCTGATGGGTCACTGTTTCATCCGTTTATGCATTGGAGCGAACACCCGTATGTATTCTCCGCAGATATTTGCCGTTCCATTCAACTGCAACCAGATTCCATGATCGACATGTACGGGGTGCCTGTCATTCGATATCTTCCATACACGGATACTTTCAGCTCGCCACTTACAACGGAGAAGAACAGAGGATTTTGTATCCACTGGCCAAATTGCTTGAAGGATGGTGTTTTTGATGTGTCTACTTGTATTCCGGGAGCCCCCATCGCTATGTCACCACCGCATTTGCAATACGTAAGTTGCTTGGTATATTTTCACTGTAATGACTCACAGTTAATGCAAATCGGCTTTGACCCCCTGTGAAAGAGGTGTCTTGGGGGTGTGTGCTGCACTTATCCAAAAACGTTTGATGGAAGTGCATAACTATTTGGTAGGTCAGGTCACTTCAGTCTCCAAGGTCGAAACAGGCCATGATTTAACGAGCGTCCCGTTTCATGTGTCAGTAAGCGAACCAGGATCCCTGGCGCTTCGACACCCAAACTTCTTATTTATGCGGACAGAGACAAGAAGAGAATAAGCGAAGTCTGCATAAGTTCACGAAACTGTCCCAGACATCCAGACGACCACGGGCTATTTGGTACAACACCCAACTGTAACTTCAGTGCTAAGCACCGATGCAAATCATTCAGTACACCGCTAATGTAATGAACATGAGTGTAAATTGGATGAGTGGATTATGCAGCTAGTAGCAAGATGCGATGTGTATTGGACCCATTTACGTGAAGAAGGTGAAAGAATTAGGCTATAATGACTGTCGGTTGGAGAAAGGACAGTAGTGTCTAGGTGCCACTCGAAAAGCATACAGTCTAGCCAGTGAATAAGCATCTCTAAGCGAAACATGCTACGTACACAAAGCGCGCTTTGGCAACCTTATCAGGTAGAGCACAGTTCACCTGACTGTGCCAAACGCCAATGCGTCTAGGACTGCGGTCACAAACACGGAAGATTCACTTTTACCTTCCATAGTTCAAAAGTGTATGATGGGATACAAAGCACAGCTTTACAAGATCCACAGGCTGGATATGAAAAAGAAAATTGAGATCAAAGTGTTCCAACGTGGTACGTGAATTATCTGTGGTTAATCCCTTTCAGTTTATCAAACTGTTGTGTAACGTTTATCATTAAGATGAAAGTCTAATAGTAGTTCGAATGTCATGAAGTTTGGTGCCTTCACCACAGGTGTTGGTAGTGCATTCCTGTGGGAACAGATTCTAATTGAGTAAAAATACTTTCCACAATTCAAACGGGTGTTGCGTCATTACTTTCAGCTGGTTGCCTCGGCAATTTTGTAGGAGGCTAGGGTGAGCAGTTATGTACTTGGGTGCTCACAATCAGTTACTATCCGGTATGTTCGAATGCGATCACTGCGAAGTCGTCGGTATTCTGAAGAGAACACACCGATTACTCGAAGACGCAGTTCATAACTGTGATCGGATAGTCCACGCGTTGCCTACGTGGCTCTTCTTTGGGTTGCTCCAAAAGGCGAATGTCTCGTTTTAGCCATGAACACCAGGCTTGAATGGCATATTCAACGTGAGGACGAATATATGAGTTAATCAACAATGGTACTAGTCGTCGCCCAAAGGTGTCGAGAGCTCGCCTCAAAAGCCTCAATTTCAATTTCGCCACACTTGCTGCTTTCAAACATTGGCGCGAATTGCCAAGACTCTCTTGCATGATTATACTTAAGTCGCATTCACTAGTCACGTGTTGCAGGACGTGTGGCCTCAAAATGTATGTGTTGATGAAGCTGCTGCGCACCATCAGCAGGTGGCACTTTTCAGGGTTCAGTGGGAGCTCGTTCCTTTCTGCTCATTTGTTAATCCGAGCCAGGTCGTCCTGAAGATAGACACGATCGGATTCTGAGCAAATTTCTCTCCATACTTTGGTATCAGTTGCGAATATTTGCATCGGTGATAGAATATTTGCTGGAAGGTCATTGATGTAGATTAGAAACAATAGCGGACCGAGGACGGATTCTTGTGGTACACCACTGAAGACACACAGGCTTTCGGAGTGAGTGTCAGCTACTCGTACCTCGACTGTACTGTCGTGCATGTAGTCTTCTAAACAGCTGAGCAGGGAACCGTTGATATCGTAGGCACAAGCTGCTGGAGGAAAACGAAGTGATTGACCCTGCCGAATGCTTTAGAAAGACATAAGTAAAACACATCTATGGGGACTTCTTCATAAACCGCTCTGGTCTATGAGTACCAAGTAAGCAGCAAATTGGTGAGATAAGGTCGTCGGCGTCTGAAACCAAATTGGGCATTAGAAATTATTTGTAGACGTGCAAAGTATCGAGTCAGTTTATCTGCGATTACCGATTCCATCACTTTTGATAAGACATGTAGAAGAGTAATAGGTCGGTAGTTGGCAGGATCTGATCGCCTACCTTCTTTGTACATTGGAGTGAAAATTCCATTTTTCCACTCAGGTGGGAGCGTATGGGAGGCAAGCAGATTTTGTGGATTCCAGAGAGACTGTAATTTGTCTGCAACAGCTGCTGGGCTAAAGATGACGCTGGATAAGCCAACGACATCTGTTGGGAGTTGATAGGGCGAATTCGATGAACTAGGCTGAACCGCTTGGTTGGACATGGATTGTCGACAGGACAGGAGTGACGCTCCGCGTTTACATGTGAGTTGAAATTAGAAGATAAATATCTAGTAAAGCATGTTGGGGTGCCAAGAATCGGAGGTTGAAAACGGAAGTTTAAATTGAAGTTGGAACAGGAGGATAAGGGTGAAAAAATGCAAGATGGGGATTAAGAAGGCGGGAAGGCTTGAGTAATAGCATCGAAAAACCTATCCACCTTGCTCGATGCGGCAGATACGGCGCCGTTTATTATGCTCGGCGACAGCCAGAGCATCGAGAAACTGTTTATTCGCTTCAATTTGGAACCGTCGATCCTCCGTCACATTGGCATGCCTCAGTGTACGCCCATTGCTACAGATCAGTCAACAGGCAACACTTGCTCTAACTTTACAGACCATCCACTTGTTGAGATGGCTAGGAGCCGACCTCAGTGGCGTTCGTGCTATGAGTTGCTTTGTCTCTCCTCATCTCTCTTAGCCTCTCCCTCCAACCACGACCTCATTTCATAGCATAATATAATTTTAGACAACAATTTTGTTTACCTAGTAGCCGGCTGGTAGTTTTCCGTAACGACGCCAATCCGTTGCCAGTAGCTCAGCTGGCATGCAACTGTTGCATCTTCTTCTTTTTCTTATGTATTGCAGCACAGGAGCCGTAGTGTTTACATATCTAGCTAACGTGTGTAATGATGCTGATGATGATAGGGCGAAGATTCCATGGTATTTGTAGCCACAGTGCCAAACTGTATGAGTAGAACGTCCGCGACATCCACCGCAGAAATTGTTTGGCCACTGGTCGTCTTGCGTGGTGGTATTCCGGGCTTAACCTTTCTTTTGCCATTCACCTATCTGTTTGGTAGTTTGGTGTTACTCGTGAACTTCGCTACCATGGTCTCTCGGCATTCGTACTTATCGACTCCAATGTGCGACGTGCAGTAGTTTCTGATTGTTTTGTAATTCTGCCATATGGTATCACATGGGCTTAGCAAATGTTGCCTCCATATCTCATCTCTTCTGTTGATCCATTTACGTTCATTGAGTGGTAGAGAGCAGAAGGGAGGTCCCGTGTCAGCTCCTTCGCTTCCCGATCTTCCAAGGATTGCAGGCGAATTGGCTGTCATGGCTCAGGATGTAGTATCAGTCCTGCAGGATCCTGGAGTACTCAGTAGGAAGAGGTGTTCTGCTTCGGATCCACGTATTGGTCCGGCGCGCTGCTCCTAATGGTACAACTTTTAATTCGGATTGTATGACCCAGTTAATTTATATTCAATTCATTCCACGCGTAGTTAGCTAGACTGTGCGTCTGTAGGTCCTATTTTACGATGGTCGCTAAGTTGCGCAACTTAAGATAGTCCGTAATCTTTCGTTAAATTCCTCTTTCTTTTCAACCATACTGGTATAACACACATAACCAGATGTTAGAACTGAATGCTAGCTAGGGCCATTGGAGGGTCGTATGCTACTGACTCACTCAGTAACTTCATTAGTCCGGATTAAGGCCAGGGGCGATGGCTTGTTTGAACCCCGGTGTCAAGTTGGTTAATGTACATGGTTGTACCAAAGTGCGATGCCCATGAATTTAAGGAATTCGGTTTAAATGATGGCGCATTAGGGGACACTGATGCTATTAATAGTCCATTAAAATCATCCGTTATAAGATAGTGTGAGTACTTGGGTGAAACAGTATAGCGGAACGCGCTTAACAGAATGTTACCACTGTCTGCTGACGAGTTCGGTGGCCTGTGGATGACTGCTAAGAGGAAAGCATCAAACATCTTCTTTTGTGAATCAACATCTCGACCTGTTAAATGCAGTCGGCAAAAGAATGCGTCGGGAGTAACAAGGGAATGTTCGGCGAGGGCCTCATGTTTCAAGTAATCTCGATAGTTAAAGCTAACACCGGCACCGTGAGATGGACGATCATACTAAATGACTGAGATTTGATTGAGTTTAATCTCCGGATCGAGTGTGTTGTTTGAAAGTCGTTTAAATAAATGTTATGGTGTTCCAAATTGTTGTTTCATGTCGATGGCACAGGTCCGGGAGTTTAGGATATAACCCTTGCTTTGATAAATAAATAAATGTTTATTCTCGACTACGCGAGGCACGCCTGCACAGCCGTGATCATAGTAAGAGTACAAAATGTGACCGGGTAAGGTACAATGGAACAATAGGGTTATCACTTATGTTGATATCTGAATGTATGTATATGGGCATGTAGGCGTGTGCAGCTGGGTTTATGGGATTTGTAAATGTTTTCCTGCACTTTTGATCGCGAAGCCAGTTCTAAAGGGATGCTTGATGTTTTTGGAATTGAAGCGGTTTTCCGGATAATCGAAGGGGTGACTAGTTGATGGCGAGTCACAACCGCCACTTCACAGTGTTGTTAAACGGACATTTGTGGCTTTTTATAGGGAGAACGATTGCCAGGCGAAAACCCACCACGTCCTGGAACACTGCCGCCGAACTATTTGCTGGAACGGAGTAAACCAGAAACACCCAGCTGGCACCACGAGGAGGTTGTTCGGCTAACCAGCATTGTATTTGTTGACGAATTAAGAGCTCGGTTCGCTGCGTTTGACCGGTACAAATAGTGTCGGTCTGAAGTTTTTTGAAACGGATGTTTTCCGGTTGGCTTATCGGAGATAGGTACCAGCGAGGCTGGCTCATCTGTATCTGGGGTCTGTACTAATTGAAGGAATGGCC